GATATCTTGTTTAAGGAGTATGTGTGGAGCGTGTTAGTTGTTGTGTGTGTGTGTGTGTGTGTGTGTGTGTGTGGATGGGCATAAGGAAGGAGAAGCTACTTTACAGAAGCAGTTCAGGGCTGCACTTGGGGTTAAGGAGCACTGCAGCATGTCTTCTTGTTCAGAGATTGAAGTAGGAATCAGGGCTTCTAATTTGCCAAGTCCTACTGCCTGCCTCATCATCCACTGCCTGTGCAAAGCTGGGCTCAGGGAGAAAATTAAACCGACGCCGTCGTACCAATCCAAAGCAATGTAAATCTATTTATTACTTGACTATTTTTAGCGATGCTCACGTTAGCAGGTGGTGACTGGTAGATTTTAAAACAATACTGTTGTCAAGGGGTACAATACCCTTGACAACCAGCTTCATTATAGTTATTAGTACATGAACAAAGGAACAAAAAGAGTTACCTTCAGCTTCACTCTGGCATAAGAAAGATAGTTTACTAAACAAAAAGAGGCAACATAGGAAAAGAAATGTAGGGCCTGGTTTTCTCGTTTACACTAAGATTCCTTTACATTAGTCTGGCAGTGGAAAGGGGTCTTTAGATGGGCTTTATTTACATTCAAGACTACTTCAAGCCTCAGTGTAAGTGAGAATCAGGCCCCTAAATTTCAAGTTACTAATAAAGATTTATTGAAGGTAGGGCTGTCAAGTGATTTAAAAAATTGTGATTAATTGCACTGTTAAACAATAATAGAATACATTTCAATATTTTGGATGTTTTATACATTTTGAAATATATTGATTTCAATAACAATACAAAGTGAACAGGTCTCACTACATTTATTTTTATTACAAATATTTGCACTGTAAAAAAAAGAGTATTTTTCAATTCACCTAATACAAGTACTGTAGTGCAATCTCTATCATGAAAGTTGAATTTACAAATGTAGAATTATGTACAAAAAATAACTGCATTCAAAATAAAACAATGTAAATCTTTAGAGCCTACAAGTCCACTCAGTCCTATTTCTTGTTCAGCCAATTGCTCAGACAAACAAGTTTGTTTTATATTTGCAGGAGCTAATGCTGCCCGCTTCTTGTTCACAGTGTCACCTGAAAGTGAGAACAGGTGTTCTCATGGCACTGTTGTTGCTGGTGTTGCAAGTTATTTACATGCCAGATATGAATCTTTAGTATATGTCCTTTCATGCTTCAACCACCATTCCAGAGGACATACGTCCATGCTGATGACGGGTTCTGCTCAATAACATTCCAAAGCAGTGCAGACCAACGCACGTTCATTTTCATCATGAGTCAGATACCAACAGCAGAAGGTTCATTTTCTTTTTTGTTGTTTTGTGTTCTGTAGTTTCCACATCAGTGTTGCTTTTTAAGACTTCTGAAAAAGCATGCTCCACATCTCATCCCTCTCAGATTTTGGACAGCACTTCAGATTCTTAAACCTTGGGTTGAGTGTGTAGCTATCTTTAGAAATTTCACATTGGTACCTTCTTTGCGTTTTGTCAAATCTGCAACAAAAGTGTTCTTTAAATGAGCAACATGTGCTGAGTCATCATCCAAGACTACTGTAACATGAAATATATGGCAGAATGAGGGTAAAACAGAACAGGAGACATACAATTCTCCCCCAAGGAGTTCAGTCACAAATTTAATTAATCCTTTTCTTTTTTTTTTTAAACTAAGCATCATCAGCATAGAAGCACGTCCTCTGGAAAGGTGGCTGAAGCATGAAGGGGCATATGAATGTTTAACATATCTGGCACGTAAATACCTTGCAATTCTGGCTACAAAAGTCCCATGGGAATGCATGTTTTCACTTTGTTGTGACATTATAAGTAAGAAGCAGGCAGCAATATCTCCCGTAAATATAAACAAGCTTGTCTTAGCGAGTGGCTGAATGAGAAGTAGGACTGAGTGGACTTGTAGGCTCTAAATTTTCGCATTGTTTTGTTTTTGAGTGCAGTTATGTAACAAAAAAATCTACATTTATAATTTGCACTTTCACAATAAAGAGATTGTACTACATTACTTGCATGAGGTGAATTGAAAAATACTGTTTTATCATTTTTACAGTGCAAATATTTGTAATAAAAAATAAAAAGTGAGCATTGTACACTTTATATTATGTTGTAATTGAAATCAATGTTTGAAAATGTAGAAAAAAATCCAAAAATATGTAATAAATTTCAATTGCTATTCTATTGTTTAACAATGTGATTAAAACTGTGATTAATCGCAATTAATTTTTTAAATCACGATTAATTTTTTTAAGTTAATCGCGTGAGTTAACTGCGACTAATCGACAGCCCTAATTGAGAGTAATGGCAGTAATTGCCTGTGTACTATTAACTCAAAAGAAAACCAGCGAAGAGCACACACAATCAAGAGACATATTGTATATTTATTAATAGAGTAAATCTGCCAGGCACCAAATGTTGCTGTTGCAGACGAGAGTATAATTCCAGACCTTTCACAATAGGCTGGATTTGGTATCATCCCAAATAGCGTGAGCAGAAATTCTCCTTTGTCATAGGCTGACAATCACCCTGCACAGTGCCCTTTTAAATAGCTGGATAGTACACAAGTTATGATTATAAATGTTGGAGCCAGACAAAATTAAAAGTGGCTTTCTCAGTTTAATGAGTCCTGCCCCTTCTCTGTACATTGAAGTGATGTACTGAGCTGATCAGATTTTGCTACGAAGCGACTATTCAGACCCTTTGATCCCCTTGGTATTGACTGACATTTTGAGTGGCAGGCCACTACTGCAGCTGCTCCAGCAGTCTTGCTGGCTGAAGCCTCATCTCTTGTGCTTTGTGTTGTTTAAAGCCTAACACAAAGGGTGACATCGATGTAAATGGAAGGTAATGCCCTCACACAAGGAGCTTTGGGGATGCTGAATTTGGGATGCATGAGCACAGAGTGACTAACTAGGACAATGAAGGTAAAATGAAAGAAACAGCTGTTAAGTTTGGACAGGGATTTAAAACAAAAAACCTGAAATACAGCCTTTGTGCACAAAACAATAAAAGAAAGGGGCCTTCTTGATGGCAGCTTGTCTAAAATAAGCCGTGTGTGTGTGAAAACCAGATAAATCATTCCAGTTTGCTATTTAGAGTCTGACATGGTATGATGTTTGTGTATATGCTGATGCCTAGAAGATGTTTTGCAGCAAACAGTATTTAAATACCCTGAATACTGATTATCTGCCAGAAAAATACATTTATAATTTGATCTGCTTAACAGTCATTACCTTCAGGGACATTTTTGGTTCAACAAAACTGTTAAACCATTGCAGAAATTTCATTTGACCAGTTTCTTTTCTCATCTTGAATGCACTGTGTTGCTCGAAGATCCCACTTCTATCTATTGATTGTTTTATGTTGTATTTATATTTAGTCTTTGATGAGATCTAATTTTAAGTAACTGTTTATTCAACTTTAAAAGTTTACCCTATACAAACGTAGGTGACTTAAAAAGAAAAATGTAAGCCGTATCATAGGAATATAAACATTCTGAAACTATAAACTTCTTCAAAAACAAAAAGGAGTCCGGTGGCACCTTAAAGACTAACAGATTTATTTGGACATAAGCTTTCGTGGGTAAAAACCTCACTTCTTCGGATGCATAGAGTGAAAGTTACAGATGCAGGCAGTATATAATGCTGTTAATAACTAGAATACCCTTTGTTATACTTTAAATACTAGGCAACAGAGACAGAAGAATCTCAGGATAGATCCGTGCATCTGCTGCAATCCCTGGTTGAGAGAGCAGAGGAAATTAATCAGCTCACGAAGAAAGTGCAGATTGAGAATCAGCAGCAATTGGAGGAATGGTGCCTACTTTCTGCAGAAAATGAAAGGTTCAAAAGGGAGGTAAAAAAAGGATTTTGCTCATTTTTTACTGTGACTTTTCTGTCTCTCAAGTGTGTGATGCCTCATTCTGGTAAAAATAGCTGTGAAGTCCTGAAAAGAGAATGAGGTGTTCATGCAAGGTTTGTTTTAGAATCACAGAATAGGAAGAATGCAGGGCTAGAAGGGACCTCAAGAAGTCATTGAGTCCAGCTCCCTGTGCTGAAGCAGTAGAAATTAAACCTAGACCACCGCCAACCTGTTCTTATAAACCTCCGGTTATGGGATTTTCACAACCCCCCTTGGAAGCCTATTCCAGAGCTAACTACCCTTGTAGTTAGAAAGTTTTCCTGAAAGTCTAACCTAAATTTCCTTTGCTACAGATTAAGCCTATTATTTCTTTTCCTACCTTCAGTGGACATGGAGAACAATTGATCACAGTCCTTTTTATACCAGTCCTTAACATATTTGAAGACTGTTATCGGATCCCCCTCAGTCTTCTTTTCTCAAGACTAAACGTGCCTTTTTAAAAAAAAAAAACACCTTTCCTCATTGTTTTCTAAAACGGTTTTCATTTTTGTTGCTCTCCTCTAAACTCTCTATTTGTCAACATCTTTCCTAAAGTGTGGCACTCAGAACTGCACACACTACTCCAACAGAGGCCTCACCAGTGCTGAGTAGAGCAAGCAGTTACCTCCTGTGTCTTACATAGGACTATCCTGTTAATACAGCTCAGAATGATATCAGCCTTTTTTTGCAGCTACATCACATTGTGGACTCTCATTCAATTTGTGATCCACTATTACCTCCAGATCTTTTTCAGCAGTACTACCACCTAGCCAGTTATTCTCCATTTTGTAGCTGTACATTTGATTTTTTCCTTCCTAAATGATGTACATTGCACTTTATTGAATTTCATCTAGTTGATTTCATACCAATTCTCTAATTTGTCAAAGTCGTTTTGAATTCTAATCTTATCCTCCAAAGTGCTTGAATTCCTCCCATTTTGGGGTCATCAGCAAATTTTATAAGCATACTTTCCACTGCATTTTCCAAGTCATTAATGAAAATATTGAATAGTACCAAGCCCAGGCCTGACCCCAATGAGACCCCCACTACATACACCCTTCCAGTTTGAGAGTAAACCATTGATAACTTTGAGTATGGTCTTTGAACTAGTTGTGCATCCAACCTTATAGTAATATAATCTAGACTGAATTTTCCTAGTTTGCTTATGAGAATGTCATGTGGAACTGTGTTAAAATGTCTTACTAAAAATCAAGATATATCACCTCTACTGCTTCCATCCCACCCCTCCCATCTACTGGCACAGTAACCCTGTCAAAGAAGAAAATATAGGATGGGTCATATATGTATATTTAAATAAACAGCACTTTAAAAAATGAGACAGAGCTAGAACAGAGGATATATTTCTTTAGTTTGATACCAGTAATACTAGTTGATGTAGTGTCCTGATCTTGCTGCACTTTAAAGTTTACATTCCTGCTGCTAAATGTCTGTGAAATTACAGTCACCTGCCAATATTGTATAGAAGTGAAACCTCTGAATACATGCAGATAATTATCTGTGGTCAGGATCCCTTTCATGTGAAAGATATGAAATAAATGTATTGATATTGCACATGCAGTTCTTTGTTATCCGCATAATCCTTTGACTCTGTCTTTTGTGACCAGTACAGTTCAACTATATTTAATATGTCTGGGCAGAACCTAATCCTTAGAAATTGTAAGACTTGGGAACAAATCTTTATAAACTGATGAGTCCAGATTTGTTCCTTTGTTCCTCTTTTGAAGATATCCAAAAAACAATAATAATAATATAATTGGAGGTTAATTTGTTGATACTAGTCCTTTCTCTCCACTTTGCAATCCCCAGAATAGTCACATGAATAAACAATGCAAAAATCAAGAATGTGCCTATGTGTGTATGGGTTTTTTGTCTCATTAGCAGGGCAGTTAATTTTAGATTTGGTACTGTTGCATTGCATATACTTCAGTTTGTTAGCTTTCTACTGAATGCTACGTGTTCAGTGGTCAAATTTGATGAGATTTCTTTTTCCCTAACAAGCAGGGTGTGTAATTTCATACACAAGTTTAACAACTGCACATGCAGATGAAAGATTGGCATGCAAAAGTTACTAGAATGGGCCTTTTGAACTCTGTTACCTGATTCATTCAGTCACTGCAAATAAATGCAACTTGAGCATGGAATGTTGATCCACAGACACAACATTAAACCCCCAAGTTGTTACTCACTCGCTCTGACTGGGGAGACCGATTGTCCAAAGTCACATTCTAATTGTCTGGTTGGGCCCTTTGGATGTGGTCAGAACCTTATTACACCAGTTCCGAGTTGTATCCCACTGAGATCTCACCACCACAAAGACATTTTAAAAAGCCTTACAGCCATTATGCTTAATAAGCTAAAAAAAAAGAAAAATTCTCCCCTTATCCTCTTCCCCGTCTGTGCTCAGAACAGACAGTTAAGGGGGCTGAGGAGCAAAGCAGCATCTGGATGGGGGTGAAGAAAGGCCTGGATTGGAGGGCAGTGTTAATTGCTCCCTGCTCCTGGAGTTCAGATGCCTGGTTGCCAGCAGGTGGTGGCCCACTGGTCATGGTCAACTCCGTCATAAAAAAGAAAAATCACAACATTAGGAATTCTTCAATATCCCCAAAGTCCTTTTTGAGAAATGATGTGGTGAGCTGAAGGGGGCATTTGAATCAGAAACTGCTGCTGGGTAACAGCAGAAAAGAGGGACACAAAGAGTCCAGAGAACTTCAGAAGAAAAAAATAAGACAACTGTTATAAAAAACTAAGTTAACAATAAATAGATTCAAAATAGAGAAAACCATTTTTTCACCATGAACTGTGTTTTAGCGAGAAGGATACATTGCACACACGTGCTCCACCTCACAAAGAAAGGTCTTTTAGCAAGGATACCAGTGGGCAAATTAGTGACCAATAGTGGCTTCTTTCTACTCCCATTGAAGTCACTGGGATGATTCCCATTGGCTACTATGATGCAATCATGGCCAAAGTGTACTTTTTGGGCAGTTGAAGGCCATCAGTTTGTGGTCTCCTGTCTTGCAGTATACTTGGAACTGTGCCATCACCTGATCAATGCACACACTGTTGCAACTTATTGGCACACACAATGTCCACTCCTCTGATACCCCTCCTCCCTCCCTCTTTCTAAAGTAGACATGCCATTATACATTAATGTGATCACAGACATACATGCTACAGAGTTTAGGAGACATGTTTATTTTGGTCCACTTGCTGTTGAAAATGAGAATGTGTCCTCGGTGTATATTACCCATTGATAAAAATTTTTGAGTGATAACTGGAAAAACAACTGACATAACCCCCCTTAATGACTATTTAATGCATTCTGTAACAGTAATGCTGTGCATAACATCAAGCAGGCAAAGTGAAAAAATGTTTTTTGAAGTACATTCAGTTAAGATGATATAAGGATCAGTCCTCGAATAAAATCAAAATTAATCATTTAGCTGCAGTATATTGTGAAGTAACATTTAAAGCAGCAGCAATTACAAAAGCTTTTTTTTCATCCCGTTTCCTTGCCTCTCTGTTTTGCTTATGTGAACAAATAACCAACTTCAACCGAAACACCGGTGTAAATTGGTGGTACTCAGGATCAGAACGTACAGCCATGCAGCTAACACCAGCGAGGAATTTCTTTAAAAGGGGCTGTAGCAGATCTGGGACACAGGAATGAAATGCTTTAGAAACAGATAATCTGGGCTCTTCACTAGACAGATGGCAATGCCAGGAAAGGAGATAAAAATAGTTTTGAACTGTTGAGCTGCTGCAGATTCATGGTCAGAACAGAAGATGCTCTGTAATACTGAAACTCAGAGCAGCTTCACATTTTTATTTACTAAGGAGCATAAGAATGAAGGAGAACAATAGGGAGACACATGGGGTGAAGAGTAAACGTATGCATAATAGAAGAATGAAAAGAAAACTAAACCAAGTAATAAAGGGACGAAAACTCTGGCAAGCTGTTAACATTTCCTTGGTAATAAATGCTAAACAAATGGATTTCATTATCAGGAGGCAAGGAGTTTTAAGGAAAAGATGGCAACCCCCAGTCACCTCAACTTGGACCGCAGCTCAGCTTTAATACTACAGCAGCAAATTGGTATGAAGCAATGTCACTTATCTGGGTCTAATGTTCCTTTTCTTCGTTGAACACATTCACAAATTAGCACATTCTTTTTGGCAGGACATCTTTCACCCAGCAATTAGAAACTACAGTAGAACCTCAGAGTTACAAACACCAGAGTTACGAACTGACCAGTTAACCACACACCTCATTTGAAACCAGAAGTACGCAATCAGGCAGCAGCAGAAACCAAAAAAAAAAAAAGCAGCAAATACATTACAGTACTGTGTTAAATGTAAACTATTAAAAAATAAAGGGAAAGCAGCATTTTTATTCTGCATTGTAAAGTTTCAAAGCTGTATTAAGTCAATGTTCAGTTGCAAACTTTTGAAAGAACCATAACATTTTGTTCAGAGTTACGAACATTTCAGAGTTACAAACAACCTCCATTCCCAAGGTGTTCATAACTCTGAGGTTCTACTGTAGCTTAAAACAAGGAGCTCAGGCAGAATTTGCTAAATGACATATGGGTATGAAATGTCACTGAAGAGTTTGAGGACCACTGGTCTAGGCACACGATTACAGAAAACACATGTAGTTATATTATCCAGGTACTATCTGAGAACTTACTCGGACCTCATCACCATCGTACCACACAATCATCATGGCATTTCCCCTCACAACTCTCTTCATGATGTAACAAAACATTTCCCCAGTTTGTAGTGCAGATTAACTGATTATGCAAAGTCATACAAGGAGCCTGTGACTTGTATGTAAACCCAGGTCTTCTGCATCCCACTCTAGTGCCCTATTCACTAAACCATGTATTTTTCTTTATATTGCCACATTAAATGCTATGGGTGTAGTAACTTGAGTGATGGAATTTAGTTGCAACTCCTACTAACATTAAAAGGAGCCACACATCAAAACTCTTAGCTAATCACATTGAGCATTTATTCTTGGTACTCAACTTTGCCCTCCACTAACATAACTAGCTAATCCAATATTTGTAAAATAATTGTACAGTACAAAGGAAAAAAAGACTATTAGAAACGTAATGGATTTTTTCCCCTTGAGCTTTCTCTTCATTATTTCTCTCCTCTAATACACAAATAAGGAATCACATGAGCAAAAATTGTGGCTGCTAGGGTAGCATTTCCACCTAGGAATGGGCAAATTTAAATCAATAGAACTTACTAACTAAGACCCCGATCCCCTAAACACACACTTACTAAGCTCTAGGCACATGAATAGTTCCATGGACCTCAAGGGGACTGTTCATGTGCCAGAAGTTAAGCACCTACATAAGTGTATGCAGGATCAGGCCTCAAAAAAACTTCTCTGTATTCAGCTTCATGTTGTCTTTCATTCCATCTATATTGCATTGGAAAGACACTATTTATGGTGGTTCAGTATTTATTAAGCATAATATTCAGCACTAAACATTAAGCGATTCTCAAACTTCATTGCACCACAAAAATTACTACATGACCCTGAGACGAGGACCCTGAGCCTAAGTCCCACTGCCCCAGAGGTGTGTGTGTGTGGGGAGGAGTGAAGGGGGATGAAGCCAAAGCTGAAGCCCCAGATGCAGGGGGGCTGTAACCTGAGCCCCACCGCCCAGGGCTGAAGTCTTTTGGCTTCGGCTTCAGCCCTGGGCCTGAGCAAGTCTAATGCCAGCCCTGGTGACCCCATTAAAATTGGGTCATGACCCACTTTGGGGGCCCGACCTACAGTATGAGACCCACTAACCTCTAATCCCTTTGCCAGAGATGCAGCTATATTTTATTACCCACCCTCCCCACTCCCCATTTAAAGAGTTGCCCTAGGCCACAGATGGGTTTGGGGTCAGAGCCATTAAGACTTAGGAGTTCACAATTCCTAATTGGATGCTCAGAGCATTAGGCTTCAGCTCTTTCATCTTAGGAGTGCATTGTCAAAGAAGGAATAAGAGGTATGTTTCCCTTTTGACATATCCAAGTCACACACGCCGATATGTTTGTTTTACAGCGAGTCTTAAGAATCAGGTCGGTGATCTTCTGGAGGCCAATGAGGCTGCTGTTCTGGAGCTGACAAATGCAGACGAAGAGATTTCACAACTGAAAAATGAAATGGCTCAATTAAAATCTGAATATCTGCAGAAGATAAAAGAATCCAAAGAAGAAAATCATCTTCTCAAGGAAATGGTAAGGAATCTCCCAGGCCCCGAGAAAGCCTAGCTCAGGGGTAGCTCCGAGCCGCGTACAACAAACTTCAGAAGTTTGAGAGCCGGGACACGCCTGCCCTGTGGGAAGGGGGGTCTTGGGGCACCTGCCCTGTGGGGACAGGGGTCTTCTGCCCCACAGGTAACACCTTCAGGGGGTCAGGGCTTTAGCCCTGCTCCTATTGAAGCCCCAAGACTCCCCACCCTGCTGGGCAGAAGCCAGAGGCGACATGGGGTGGGGGTGGGGGAGGACAACCACGTAAAGTCATGTACCACCCCATCTTTGCAGAGTTTACTGGCACCACTTGGTCACATGCTGCTGCCAGGCCCCCTCCATGCATGGCAACTGCTGGAGCCAGCATGCTGGGAGCTGCAGCTGTGGGGAAAGGCAGCAGCAGCAAACACCTGGGAGCTGCAGGGAGGGGCCACTGAGTGTAGAGAGGTGTGTGCTTGGGCTGGGGGGCATGACTCAAGCTGTCGGGGGGGGGCAAACTTTTAAATTGTACCTCCCCCCTCAGCAGGCACCAGTAATCTCTGGCAGAAGCTCTGAGCCCCATCACCCTGCTGCAGGGCAGAAACCCCAAGCTGCTCCTCCCCCCCCGTTTGGTATGTGGAGAATGGGCAGGTGTGGGGGGCTCTGCAAGCTGCACTTCAACTGTAAAAGAGCCCCATGCTGCTCATGAGCTGCGGTTTGGCCCCCCCCGGCCTCGCTGCTGGCTACTTACTCAGCATATGGTCTATTACGGGGAAAGAAGTGTGATGTAAAGTTGTGTATGGAGAACTTGCACTGTACAGTGGGAACATAAAGCCGAGGGGAATTTGAATTTGGATGCCTGGAGTTTCTCCAGCTTTCCCTTCTGGCTGATAGGCAGCATATTACTGGCAAACTCAGGAGAAAGCCACATCCAGCCCCACAGCCGTCCCAATATGTGACCTTCTGGAAAGGGGAAAAGGGGGGGGAAATGAGCAGAGCTGTAAGGGGACTCACAGGACTGTCCCTTCTCACAAGAGTCATTTACAGTTTATGCATTAAATTGCACAGAAGTTTCTATTTGGTTAGCCAAAAAAAAGCAACAAAATGAATGTACACAGTTATCTTGTATTGTGGTAAAATGAACCAAGGAGAATATCTGGTTTATCAAACAGACTCAGGCCTGTGTATTCTCTTTCCTCCCACTCCCACCATGCTGGCTTTGCACTGTGTTTTTTCCAACTTGCTGTTTTTTATACAGTACCTCGAGTCCTTACAACAGGACATCAGCTCCATCTCATTGATAACAGAAGTGTACAGTAGTTAGGCCCTGATCCGTCAAGTCTTTACTCCTGAGATCAGTCCAATTGAAGTCAATTCCTTCATCGCATGGGTTTGTCCCTGTACGTAAGGGTTGTGGGATTAGGCCCCTAACTGAAAGTAATGTCCCAATATTAACAAAGTAGCTACTTTAATAAAACAAACTTGTTTTTCATAGTATTTATGAGCATTCGAGGGCAATATGGTTATATTTCAATTCCAGTTTTAATGAACAGCACTGAAGGCTACTGGGAAACATCTCCACACACTGCTTTTATGGCTATAATAAAATTTGCTTTCAGTTTTAAAGGTAGGCAACGCAGTGTGGGGATTCTATGATACACTTGGTGATTTGTATGGCTCATGAACACATGTACATCTCTCTCCTTGGCTGATGGATTATTAGAGGCACAGCCAGCCTGCGCTTAAATGGTTTAACCATATTTTGCCTAGTGCCCTGCTATTATTCTATTAGCATCATTGTTATTACTATATTTCTCCCGGTTTTTTTTAATCTTATAGGCTTTCCTATACTACTGCAGCTTCCCAAGCAATTATTCTTGCTGTGGAAAGCATGCAGGTAGAATTCAGAGCAATTCTATTAATTATTTTAACTCAGATCTGTATTTAAATGAGCATTACAAGAGCTCAGAGAAGATGTATTTGACTTCAAAAGCACATTTAAGAAGTTAGCTTCCACTCTCTTATGTCTGTACTTTATTATAATCTCTCTCTCATATACACACACACAGTTTCTCTCTCCAAAACGTAAAATCTCACCACAGCTACCCTCAAGGCATTATCTAAATGCTATAGGCAATGAAATAATGCCATGCCATTTTTATTTTAAAGATGAACATGGTGAGCAAGAGGCACGCTCCACTAACAACCTATGAGCAGGACCTTCATGAGGAGATTTTTCAGCTAAGACGTGAGTCCAGGAGGTTGAGAGAACTCTGTCACCAACTAAATGAGGAAAACCACAGACTGAAAGAAGAGCTATGGGATGTTAAGAGGGAATACAAACGGCTAGCACAGCTGGCAACAGCCAGAAAGAAGGGTAAAGCAGCCCAAAAATATGTCATTTAACAGTTTATTTCTTAGGCTCTTTAGAGTTCTAGGAAAAGACAAGCAATGAAATGCATGACACTGATGCATGGCATTTAAAACATTTTAATGAGTCTACTTGAAATGGTAGAGTTTAAATAAAATGCTTCTTCATGAAAATCCATGTAGCACCCCATCATTTTGGAAGTAAAATACAGAGCAGGGTGTTCTAAACCCTGTTCTGTATTTTCTGCCACCGTGAAGTACATCATTTTACCTCAGGGTCCAATAAGAACAAGAGCTATAAAAGAGAGTGTTGGTGAAATGTAATGCACACTTGTTTTATTTCTAAGACTTCAGCTTTTACTGGAAAAACAGTTTGTTTCAATTTCAGTCATTACTCTTCTTCCATATATTGTATCGTGAATGTGGTGCCTTGCATAAGTACACAATTTACAACCAGGGCTGTACACTTCAGAACAATTTTTCTTGTTATGATTGGAACTCTGCCATACAGATCACACTTGAGACTGTGCAAATGAGCCTTTACAGGATGGATGTTATTCACAGTTTGAATTCTATAATGTACACAACCCTCCAAGGGCTCAGGATAGCTAATAGCCTTTCAAGACAGGTTTCGGGCCTTTAGAATCGCCCCATAATCTTACTTGGTGAACTTTCTGCTGCTCTAATTTTAAACATTCCACCTTTTTGAAGCTGCAGTTCCCCTTTAGCAAAGTTCTGAGCCCCAGTTTGAATGGCCTTCAACTAATGAGAGACTAATTGAAACCAATTGGAAAACCTGTGTGTGTAAAAAGGACCTACCAATGGTCCTGCTTGAAAAGTCATTGGGATGGGAGAGTGAAGGACACAGCTATGCAAGAATGAATAGACAAAGAAATGGCACCATTCTGTGCATATAGAAGCTGGTTCATATGCTCATTAGAAAGCACTAAAAAAAAGTTATAAATGAATTAGATACTTTTTTTTTTAGATAGATTGTATCCCTTCTGCCATTTACTGAGGGGACACATTTGCGCCACTGGAAACCTTATTCATAAGAGAAATGCTATTGAGCACAGCAGCATGCACACATTCCAAAGGTTCTACAAGGCTGCATCGAAGGCCCTGATTCAGCAAAAGCCTTAAACACATCCCTAAGTGCAGGGCTGAAGCCCCATTGGCAAATGAAGGCCAAGGAAAAGGTTGCAAGAGGGAGATGAATATAAAGGGAAAATGAAGGATGGAGAGGAACAGGAAGAGCAAGGCTTATGCTGGAGGGATAAAAGGAAGGAGCAAGACAAAGCAAACAACCAGTCAGTAGACAGCGATCAGCACAGTGCACATGGGTGAAAATGGTAGGAATTTAGATAGATTTTAGCAATTAGAGGTGTTTCAAATCCTTCAAAGATCAAAATCTCCTTCCTTTACAAAGTTTAAACTTGAATTTTCAGAAATCAGCCCATTTATTTTTTCATTTCATTTTTATTATTTGAAAATGGCAATTTTTATATTAAGACCACCTCTTGCCAGCACTTTTCGAATCTCTAAAACAGGGGTAGGCAACCTATGGCACACATGCCGAAGGTGGCACGCAAGCTGATTTTCAGTGGCACTCACACTGCCCGGGTCCTGGCCAGCCGTCCAGGGGGCTCTGCATTTTAATTTAATTTTAAATGAAGCTTCTTAAACATTTTATATACAACAATAGTTTAGTGATATATTATAGACTTATAGAAAGATCTTCTAAAAACGTTCAAATGTATGACTGGCACACGAAATCTTAAATAAGGGTGAATAAATGAAGACTCGGCACACCATTTCTGAAAGATTGCCGACCCCTGCTCTAAAAACTACCCTGAGAAAAACCAAGAAGTGAAAGCCTGGTAATTCAACAATAGATATATTAATAGACAGTAGGCAAAAAAATAAACTCTGCATTCAACTACTCTTTTTTAGGCCAGACCACAACATTAATTCCTTGGACTGATCTTTGCAAGAAAGACACTCAGACTAGAATTCTATCATCAGTGCAGTATGGGTAAGTCATGGGAGAAATGCATGTAATCTTTTTCTATTAACCTTATGCTAACCAGGGAATGACACTATAAGCAAGCAGTACACATTGAGAAGAAATGAGTCAAACTGGACATCATGGAAAAAGCTGCATGAAGTGTAAAATAATGGTATCACCATAATAAACACTTTACTCCCCCTTACCAGAACAGCAAGTTGCACTCCAGCCTTTACAAGCCCCTTTTGTATTTTGTTTTTGTACTGAATGTCCATCTATGCTGAGCAATTCTATAGGCACAGTTTTTACTACCTAAACAAGTAGTGAAAATACATAATAGATGCATCTTATTCAATTTCCCACCCACAGAATGTGATTAATTGTACTTCTTGTCAAAAATCTGCTTTAACCAACCAGCATGTCAGAATCTGTTGTGCTAAGATGTGCTAAGATTTGAGCAATTCTGATAAGATGGTATAATTCTCTCCAAGCCCCCATCTGCTTTCACCAGCTTTGAAAATCTTTGTTTTGATAGGGAGTTGTATACAAAAAGAAAAAGAAAAACTAATGGTCATGATCCCTCATGTTCTTTACAGAGCAATAAACAATCAGTGGTACTGTTTCCCCATTTCTTTGCTCTTAGCAGGAAAGAAGGTTTACAAACAGATGAGATGAATGGAATTCCCAGCAGCAGAATGGTGTCTATACTCAAAGTTTTCAGCCCCCATGCATGTGATGGTAAGTGATGTTGAGTTTGGAAATTGCCATGCTCGGATTAATATATACAAATAATTTTTAAATTGGGCCTTCACTGTCTTGTGCTTCAGTAATAAAGGTGTGATACTGGGATTCTTAGCTGTATTTCCAAAAACTTCCCAATTGAGATCTTACTGGGTTAACATGCACGTGCAATGAGCTCTGTGCGGGCTCCCTTTGCACAGTTCATTACAGGGCTATGGTGTGAAACAAGTTAAATGAGGAGCCAACATAAAGGATCCAGATAGAACAGCTATCATTTTGTCTTTCTGATGAAGAACAACTTTACTATTATTAGTGTTTTCCTTACCAGCGGCATAAGCAGTATGTTTAAAACAAAAACAAGCAGAAGATTTTTTCCCCTTAGACATTTTATATCCTGTAACTTTTACGGTTTGAATATTTCCCCCATTTTTGAATTTGTTTAACACCAGGTAGCCTAATGCCCACATTTTTAGGCCATCCACACTGCAGTTAAAGTTAAATGATCCATAACCAGTGCTTCTGAGATGCCTTGGTCTACAAGAGATGATAAGCAAGAACTTCTCTTTTGCTTTCTTACCTTCATCACTTTTATGTGCTGTTCCTGATAGTAGAAATATTGCTTAAGAATGTGTATGATACATGGTCCTGTACATCTGTTTAGAAAACACTGATATTCAAGTGATTTGTGATGTGAGTTTAAGTATGTTGTTTTCCTATTGTTTCACTGCTTTCTGCATTAGAGTGTTCAAATTTAAATAAATAATAAAATCACATTTATAGGCAAAAATTACATGTGTAAGTCTCAGAGAATGGAAAAAATCGTCTCTTAAATTGTTTAGCCTAGTATATTCCTTTATTAAAGAATAGAATAATAATTGTACTAGTAAGCCTGAGGTTCATCATAAGCAGCTTAGTTTTTCTTTTCTTAATGTATCAAATTCCGCTTTCTGTTTAAAACTAAGATCTGCTCCACCATCCATGATGGTGGCTGTTAGGTGCTACACCATTACAAACAACATAATAATACAAGACTATTAACCCTTAGTGAATTTTTATCGTTCAAAATAGTAATTGCATCTTTACAGTAATATCTAGAGCTGGTGAAGTCGATATGAGCAAGCCTTTTTCTTTCTTTAGAAAGGCAACAAGAATGTTCTAAAAGCAATGACTCCTCAATGTCTATGAATAGTGAGTCTACAGAGATTCTGATCACTGGATACCATGATACAGGCTTAAAGAAAGAATCTAAGAGCAACTCAAAAGGTACATTGTTTTAACTACATACTGATTAGAGTTGTTCATTAAAACTCTCTCCAGGTCAATTGATGCTTTTTTCTATTGCATTACATAGAATTTTTATTTCCAAAACCTTTTATTTCAGTATATATTCTACCTGAACAGAAGAGTTAATTCTGTGGTCAGAACCCTGCAGATGGTTAAATAATCTTGCCATATTTTCACATGCAATCTACTGTTGTCTTAATAGTCAAACAAAGCATTGTGACTGCCCTTTATTCATATTTTTGGGAAATATTTGTATCAGAATGATCACTGCTTCTCAGCTGGGATTACAATAGTATTTCTTTTTGAAAAAGCTGAATATTCACAATAGCAATCAAACATGTTCTCTGATATATACAGTAGGCCCTGGGGTTCAGATACGGCACTGAAAGTACTTTAGATATGGAAGCGTGTTGTACAAATAATATCAAGGAAGCTTTTAACTTTTTTAAAGTAAATTCTAATTATTTAACTTTTATAAGTATTATATTTATTTAGTTTTGTTTTCCCTAAGAAAAACCCACAAGAGGGGCCCTCACCTCTGTGAGGATCCTTTACCTGTACCATCTTTGTCCACCCATAGAAGAGGCCAGAAGCCATACATGGCTTGGGATCTTGTAGATCACAGGGGGTCCTGCAGGAGGCCATACCCATCTACATGAAAGTTTTGCAACCCTTCACCAGCTCTGGTGTTGGTGGCTATTTGGCAGCACAGCCCCAGATTGATTTATTTTTTTGATCAACTTCCTCAAGGTTGTGGAGCTCAGTCTCTGCCCTTCCGCCAAGCCTTCAAGGGGGTGGGGGTGCAGTGGCTGATCCTTCCTGGACAATCAACACACAGAGGTTCCCCTATATGCATTGCTCCATGGGAGATGAGCTGTTAGGAAAGAGAGGATCTGTGATCAATAGGGATGGCACACCAGCTGTTAGAGATTACTTAGCTTTGAAGTGTCATCTGGAATTTCCAAATTCATAGATCACTAGCCTCTTTTTTTCTTTTAATTATGCAAAGTTAGGGCTTGTGAAATGCGCTGGCTCTTTCGGGAGTCTGAATCCACATCACTAGTAGACAGGAGCAGTGGCTGTTCAAGTTCCCCACACTGCCTTAAAGTACTTCACCAAGAGGCTAGAGACTGACTACTCTCTGTGTATGCGCACAGTTCCAGTTCAGTTAGCCTTTGGACTCACCTTTGAGACTACCTATAACACTGCTTCTTGTGATGATAGGATATTTAGTTTATTAGACAAATCAAACATTTGACCATTAGAAATTGAATTGTGTCTGCAGTTAAGTTCACTGACAACCACGTTTGGCCTAAGCTGGAATTGAACCAGGGACTGGTATTGAAGGACTTCATCTATCATTATGAGACATTCTGTTGATGCATCAGTCTGCTACTTCCAGACAGATGACTAAGTTGCTGTATGTAATCAAGTTTGGTATAAATTTGAGGATACCTTTCTAGTCTTCTGTTTAGAAAATCGATGAACAATGTACAACTTCAGTGCACCCTCTGACCATATTGGTTTTATTGCTGCTTTCAAGATGGTGCATGTGAGGAGATCCCAGAACCGTGTGATGATGATTTGTCTGCAGTCAGTCAGCAAAATAGGACACATCATCAGAATTCTCTACAGCATGATACAGATGTAACAGGCAGCCTCTCTGCAACGGATACCTGCAGTAAAAGTGCCACGAGCAGGTAATTTAGAATTAAGCATTAATCACAATTATTGAAATTAAAGCAAGAAAATTTTGCTAGACATTTTAAGTTTTCTAATCCTATTAAAAATCTATTCTAAAATAAACCCTACCCCAAGCAGAGCTTTTTATTACCTGGAAAGGAGGAAAAGGAAGAGACTCCATGAAGTCTACTACAGACTTGGGTAGTACTAATTTGCTTTCCCAGAAGATGCTCAGCAGCTTTGGTGATGGGCTACAGTATAAAACCTTAACACAGAGATGTTGATGAGCACATCAAAAGAAATCCATGTTTAAATCTGCTTAGGAACATGTGTTGTGTAACTGGGCTAGCTTCCCACCTTTGCCCTCACTTCCTGAGGAATTAGGAATGGGGTGTGAGGTTGAGGGGTTGCTTGTATGGCCACTTTCTTAAGTCACTATATTGTTAAAAGCACTTAAGTCTCCTGACACACATGCCAGGGGCCTCCCATGTACAAAAGCCATTGGTAAAACATCAGCTAAAATTTTCAAGTCACCATCCTCAAGCAAAGACCCAACTGTAATGGTAATGATATGCCTTCCAGAATTCCCTGATGGGCCACAATTTGTGGCTTTGTCAAACCAATGGGTGAAGTGGATTCAAGGGTTCAACACATCCTGCTTCTAGTTTCTCAACAGAGAAGTTTATTTCAATCACCGTGGTGGAGCATGAAGAGGTAATCAGCCATCACCCAAAACTGCAGGGCTTTAGTAGATCAAAACCAACACTGTGAATTGCTTCTGGAAACTACTTTATAACTAATACAAGACTACAGAGGACCTGTATAAAACATACCATGCTAGAAGCACTTTAAGTAAGCAGGCACCGACTTACTAAAATTCTCAAATGGGCAACCCTGTATAGGGAGCCACTAGTGAATGGTATCAGCTGGTGGCAAAAGCTTGGATAAATGCAGCGAGGTCCACCTCTGACAGGAAAAGTCACAACTTCCAAGCTAACTGTAGGTGAAAAGACCCTTGACTACTGTGGAACCCAGGGGCAGTGGGGAATCCAAATATGAACCTCACTTACAAGATAGGCATCCCCTTACAGTAGATGTTTCTTCATGCCCATCAGTATCATCTTGATTATCATCCACAAGGTGTTTCTGTGAATTTGCTCCTCTGCCCTCCTTCTAAGATAGGATCCTCTGAATGTTTATAACTACTGTTTTTCATAAAACTTCTTTCAAACAAGAAAAAGCTAAATTGTATCTCACTTGCTTTGTGTACTGTGCCCTTATCATACATCAGTGTTCTTGCTTAACTAAAGAGTATTGCAGGTTTCACAGCAGCCAGCGTGACTTAGTCTTGACCAAGGGGAAGAGTATCCAGGGCCATTTAGTCGTTGGACTTAGGACATGAGTTAAAGGGGGTCCTTTTTCTTGTTGTGAGGGGGACAGCTGTTCATTAGGAACTGAACAGTTATTTCACACCGGCCAGGAATAAGCAATCAGATGATGATGACGATATTTGGTTACTACCAATCAGGGCTGGGATTGAAGTCATGGCCTCATAGTAGATCAATTGTGTTATCTAACAATTCTTCGAGAGATGTCCCTGTGGGCACACCAGGTCAAGGTGCGTCCCAGCGCCTTCGATCGGAGATTTCTACAGCAGTGCCCCTATGGGCTGCGCATGCACTGTGCCTGCCTCTCGAGCGATCAGTGTTCTAATAGCACGTGCACAGCCTGGGCTCCTCAGTTCCTTCTCTACGTCCCCGGCTAGAGACGGAGTTCAGCAGTGCTCTTTGAGATTAGCTAGTTAGTTAGTTTCTCAGTTTAGTTGGATAGTTTTCAGTCATTAATGTAACTTATCTAAGTAGTAACTCTAACAGTTACATTTATTTCTCAAAAAAAAAAAGACACCCACCTCCGCGGTTTCGGACATGCCTGGCTCCCCAGGCTTCAAGAGACGCGCCTCCTGTAAGGATGCCATCCTCATCTTGGACAGGCATTCACAGTACGTATGCTGTTTGGGGGAGTCTCATGTACCCCCAAAATGCATCCATTTGTAGGAGGAATCTATACAGGAGGGATGGGCTCCACCTAAACCAAAATGGAATCAGACTGCTGGCACTTAACATTAAAAAGGTTGCAGAGCAGTTTTTAAACTGAGATGGGGGAAAGCCGATTGCTACTGAGGAGCACGTGGATCGGACAGAGACTTCGCTTAGAAGAGAGTCTATTGACAGAGATTCTCTAGGTTTTAGTCAGAAGGAGAGGATGGAAGAGGATAAAGTATGGGCCAGATCAGACAAGAAGCATTCACATAAAAAAGAATCTGACACATCATCAAAGGGCAGACAAATAAACAGTGACAAGTTTTTAAAGTGCTTGAACTCAAATGCTGGAAGTCTAAATAAGAAGAACCGAAGTGCCTCGTGTTAAAGGAGGATATGGATATAATAGGCATCACAGAAACCTGGTGGAGTGGGGACAATCAATGGGACACAATCATTCCGGGGTACAAAATATATAGGAAGGTTGTGCGGGGGTGGGTGGGGGGGAGGGGAGAGAAGTGGCACTATATGTGAAAGAAAATGTAGAATCAAATGAAAAAAATCTTAAATGAATCCAAATGTTCCATAGAATCTCTATGCATAGTAATTCCATGCTCTAATAAGAATATAACAGTAGAGATCAGTTATCGACCAGGACAGTGATAGTGATGATGAAATGCTGAGAGATTAGAGAGGCTATCAAAATAAAGAACTGAATAATAGTGAGGGATTTCAATTATCCCCATATTGACTGGGTACATATCACCTCAGGACGAAATGCAGAGACCAAATTTCTTGATACTTTAAACTACTGCTTCTTGGAGCAGCTGGTACAGGAACCCACAAGGGAATTCTCGATTTAGTCCTGAGTGGAGCGCAGGATCTGGTCCAAGAGGTAACTATAACAGGACCGCTTGGAAATAGTGACCATAATATAATAACATTTAACATTCCTGTGGTGGAAAGAACACTGTGGCAGAAAGGGGAACTATGCAAAAATGAGGAGGTTAGTTAAACAGAAATTAAAAGGTACACTGACTAGAGTGAAATCCCTGCAAGCTGCATGGACAGTTTTCAAAGACACCATAATAGAGGCCCAACTTAAATGTATACTCCAAGTTAAAAAACACAGTAAAAGAACTAAAAAAGAGCCACCATGGCTTAACAACCATGCAAAAGAAGCAGTAAGAGATCAAAAGGCATTTTTAAAAAGTGGAAGTCAAATCCTAGTGAGGTAAATAGAAAGGAGCATAAACACTGCAAAATTAAGTGTAAAAATGTAATAAGAAAAGCCAAAAAGGAGTTTGAAGAACAGCTAGCCAAAAACTCAAAAGTAGTAACAAAATGTTTTTTAAGTATATCAGAAGC